TTTGAAAAAAGTTCCTCTGCGGAAACTGGACGAGGGCATTCCAAATACGGCTCTTCGGTATCAGGAAATGTTCTTATTTCTTTTAGTGAAATAAAGGCCCTCCAGATAATTGGTGTACACCCAAATATCGTTAGGCTACGTGATGTTTTTTCGCACGGACTGGGATTTGTGCTTGTATTTGACTTCATGCCCACTGACTTAAGTGAAGTTTTGCGTAACGTAGAGAGGCCTTTGAGTGTGGAAACTGTAAAGAGCTATATGCTCATGCTTCTCAAAGGCGTTGCGTACATGCACGCAAACAGCATCATGCATAGGGTAAGCCACTTCCCTCGTGAACATCTGTTGAAGGACTTAAAACCGGCTAATTTACTAATCGATTCGAAAGGAATTTTGAAAATTGCTGACTTCGGTTTGGCGCGCGTCTATTCGAATGAAAATAATCGTCCCTATAGCCATCAAGTGGCGACAAGGTACACACATTTATTCCATACTCCTAACTTAAGGTGGTATCGTGCACCAGAGTTACTTTACGGAGCCCGAAACTACTCCCTGAGCGTTGATCTATGGTATTTTCTAGTCAACTTTATAACCACTGTTAGGTCCGTTGGAGCTATATTCGGAGAATTGTTGAATAACTCTCCGCTTTTTCCTGTAAATCGACTTCATTTCTTTTCTAATAAATATAGGGTGAAAATGATATTGAGCAACTGTGGTTTGTTATAAGAGTGCTTGGAACTCCGACCGAAGAAGCGTGGCCAGTACGTGTCGTGAATAATTTTTCTTACAACGATCGGCCTAAACGATTGACTGCACATACTGTTTACAGTAGTATTTGTTTAGCAACTTTTATAAAAAAGCGCGAGCTTGCATGAGGCATATTACACTTTAAAACCGTTTTTTATTACAGATATTGTATTCCACTGTCATCGAATTTCAAGAATGATTTTTAAATTTTTATAAAAGCATCTTTTTTGAAGTGTTAATTTTATAGTACACACTAAGAACTAACTTTAAGTATGCTATTTCAAACAAGAATAATAAACAGGTACGCTTAGAAATATAGAAATCCAAAGAAACTTTGGAGTTAAAGTCATGCCCGGATTTACTCTTATACTTCTGCTTCCTTATGTTTTTCCAAAGGGCCTTCGAAACCTACCCGACTACAATAAGATATCATTTACAAACTGCAAACCCGTAGCCTTTGAGGACGTGATTCTTGAAGCGTCACCACTGGCTATAGACTTACTCAAGAAGTTTCTTCGTTATGAACCATCTGAAAGAGTAACGGCTGAAAAGGTAAATTCACTTGAATTTTCCATGGTCCTTCTGTACAAATATTAGCCTGACAATGCTTTCTATTGTTATTATTATCATGGTTCGTTTTTCGGTTTAAGGAGCCGAACAGTCCCCTTCCTTCAAGAGCTATAGTTAACCTCTTTTACAATTTTAACTTATAATTACTTATGGACTGCATGCATAATTCTATTTTAAGGGTGTGTGCGATTTCAAAATTGGTAAATTTTCATCAGTTTTTAAATATTAGGTTTGATGACAGATGCTAAACACGAAGGAGAAACCTGTCTTCCAGAAGTTCAATTTTTGCGCCGATAGTCTTTTTCTGCACACAGGCAATGTAACTTCATAGTAGGGTAACAAATACTCTGCATATCTCAGGACTGAACGGCTGAACTGAGCAGTTCAAAATTTCCGATCGGGTATTGCTAACCTGAACCTCCATGCGGCCCTTATGGTAACTGTTACATAAAAGTACGATAAGGCTTTTAACAGTGATTTCCTTGAAAACCTCATCAGAATATACTGCTTGTGAGCATAAACGCCTTAAAAGATTGAGTTTCGCAGAGCGTAAATCGTCCATTGAATATTGTTTCTTTAATAATGGTTCAATAAAATCGACGCCAAGGCCGTCGGAATACTTACAGAAAATTCTTGAAGTTAAGTTGTAGCTATAGTCAAAAAATTTATTTTTTTATTCATTCAACTTCTTACGAAATATTAGAATTAAGAATATAGGAAGACCTGAAAGACGCAGCTTCCCTGTTTACTTGATTTCTAGCCTTTTAGATGCGTCCATGAGCAAAGAATCGTGGAGCGGCTTTTAAAGCAACATTTCTACGAAACAAAGAGGTGCGGGTTTCGACTATTAGATAGTTATAGACGAGTTAACGATAAAATATTCTGGCGTTACGAGGCTCCAGCCCATATGAGTATTACAACATGATGAATGCTTGAGAAGAAGACGACTCGATCGCTGGGACAATACTTTTATTCGTCTGACGTTTCGAGATCCGTCGCGTATTCATCATCAGAGACATAAGCAGAGAGCAGTAGCAGATACGGACCTGTATGACGAATGATGTTCGTCATCACATATGGTTTCGCCAGTCGAAACCGCCTCATGGTTTATAAACCTATTCATAGGACGCTAGCTAACACTCTCTGATAAGGTGTTGCACATTGGAAGATGCGGAGTTTTAAACACCCAGGCATAAGCACTGAAGATGGGCACCCTTTTTATGCCTTTCTTTCTGACCTTTGGTCACCTGAGTCTGCCACAAAAACAATCTATATTTCGATATCGGAACGTCATAATTGTTTATGACGACATGCTTATGTTGCACCAGGCCAGCGCAAATTCACTGACATGGCAAACCGTTTTACCATTGCCGGGGCCTACTTTCTATGCTCTGCCCCTTTTATGGAAAGCAGCGAAAAATGGTTTTGTGATCGTATTCACGACATTCTGTCCGCTGTGCTTTCCAGCGACCTCAAAATTATAGGACAGGATTTGAATGAATGTACCAGTGAAGCTGAATGATCTGTCAAAAATGGTCACCGGTACTTCATGTAACAGTTATAACTGATTTTGTTCCATCTCTTTGAAGTTAGTTATACTTTTTTGATTAACATCAGGTTTTAACGAGCCAAAATATCCGCTCACTCATTAATCAACTGGCAGAAGGACTAGTACGCAGCTTAATAACGTTATTATGGGAGAGAGAGCCGGCAAGTGCGCTTTTCCACTGTTGATCAACAGATGGAGTTGAAGCACCTGGAGAGCATGGCTCAGACCACAGTTCCGCGGGAGCGTGTCTGTGTAGGCGTCTCGAGACGTTTAAAAGGTAATTCCACTCCAGGAGCTTATTCGCAGGTTTGATGCAGCCAAATAGTAAAATATTTTAGTCAGGTTGCCAACAGTCACATTGTTTTTTGGAAATTAACGACGCCCGTTTGGGCGCTATTAAGTAACGTCATAATTGAGACTCGACCCCAGAAACTGAACCTCAATTAATCAGAGGATGCTACGTGACGCGCTGCGATAACGGGAGCCCCAAAATGCACGCTGCTTTGAAACCCGACG